GTAACAACAATTTTGGGGGGAACAAATGGCCAGACGTGCAAAAAAAATACAAATAAAAAATGACTGGCTCCTTGTGGCCCTGTCTGTTCTCAGTATTTTGAAGCTGGCAGAAGTGAACACAATCAAAAGCTTGGCTTCAAACCAGGTTGTGAGAGATTGTGGGGTGGAAAAGGAGGAAAAGTCACATGGTTTGGAACTGCCCTCAGACTATTTCTTGGCTCTGTTAATGTATAAATGCAGAGTATTTCTTGAAAAAAAAGGGAAGCCTCAGTTTTCACTGAGATCCTAATGTGCTTCAGAGCCTTCACGGATCTTGATTTGCCACTGTCAATGGTAATTTCGCTGTTTTGACCCCTGTAATTTTTGTGCTTTTTTTTCATTATTTAAATTGCAGCTACTATCAAGTATCATTTTTAATAAAAAAATGGAATAATTTTTCTTAATTATGTAGATGCAATCATGAAGAAAATTTCAAGAAGTCCTCACATAATCTAATGTATATGGGGACAAGGATGATATATGATAAGAACATATATATAACTTATATGGATAGCAATGCTATCCAATACATAATGGATTCAGTAAAGCTAAAACACATGATAAAATGATGGGATAATATTCTGAAACACTGGCGCAATACAAAATAAAAAAATAGTTTGATTCCTATACTAATATTCACAGCTGTCAAAGCATCAGATTAACATTTATTGCTAATTATTGCATCATGCATTCATAGAAAACATTCCTATATTAAGGAGAAAGCTTACACATTCTGAAAAATGCTATTTAATTTCAAAACATGGTGACCAAGAAATCATTTGATGGACTGGAGTATATTGCTAAGTTAATAGCATTATATTATGTTATTTAGTAAGTATATTTATTTAATCAAACTTTGCAGTAATAACAGGCATAACATGTTCATAAGAACTTATTATAATAAGCTTAATAATCACCCAGTATTATCATCTTGTTGTAGCAATATAGCTTTCCATAGATTTAGGTATACACAATGACATCTAAGGTCATTAATATTATTATTATTATTAATCATCATTAATCATTAATAGTCATGGTGAATAGAAGTGACCTAGAGCGGCTATGTTTGTGATTTTCTCTATTGATATATCATTCAGAATATATTGAATAAATACTTTTAATATTTTATTTTGCCATCTATGAGATGGTACCAAACATACAAATTAGCTGATTAATTAATTCATTAGTAATCCGCCTTGTCCTTCTCCCGTGTTTTACGCTTCTAAAATCATATCATGCATATTCACATTGAATGTTCTCTCAGGGCTTCATTTGTTATTGTTTTTAAAAGTAAGTTTAAATCTTTAAACTTTAAAATAACACTAGAATGTTAAAATTGTATTCCTTGGTACAGACATTTGTTTAAAACCACGGTGATGTCATAATGATGACACATGCAGCATGGTGTCATCATACAAAAGACAGGATTATGTAATTTATGTGACTCACATCATCATGCAAGCACATAATCATTTAGTTTTCTATTCTGTATTTTTAAATTTTTATTTATTAATATTTTTTAAAAAGAAAAAAAGCAAACAAACAAGCAAAAGGAGAAAAGAAAAAAAAAGAAAAAAGTTGATACAGAAATATGATGTTTATATGTGGACAAAGGAATTAGCAAGGTTGTACAGTTAGTGCTCAGTATATCTGTATTATTCTGTATTTTAAATCACCCTGAGTCCTTGGAAAAGAGTGTGGTATAAACACTCATATAAATAAGTAGAGTAAATAACCTGACATAATTTGCACAAGAACTTCATGGCATGCATCCCATTCCTTGCTCCCTCTTGCCATCCCTTCAGATGCTTGTGCTCCTTGATGCCACCCAAGTCATGTCATCAGCTCTTGGGAATGGCATTCTGTTCACTTTAGGATCTATGCTTTGTTTATTATTTGTTTTCAATTTCAGTTTCGTATTTTAACCCCTGGACTGAACTTAAATTTCCAAGTGTATGCATCCTTAAATGCAGTCTTCTAATTTTGATGTAGCACTATATTTATTTATCTTCATTTTTGTGCTCATCTTGTGGTTTAATCTAAGCTTGAATTTCCATTAAAAGTTCTGTGAGGCACTAAGGCTATAAAGTGAGAAGCAGCAATCAATTCCTACGCTGGAATGGCTCTCAGAATAGAACCTCGGATTTTACAGTTCATTTGAGTTAATTAGGAGTTGGGTTGTTCATATCTTTGTCACTAGAAAGCCTATTTCTTATCTCTTTATTTAGTAAGTGAAAGCTAACAGTATTTAAGTTACCATTCAAATGTTAAGATTTGTACTTTAACACGCATCCCTGATTTGAATCTTCAACATGGATCCCTGATAGATGTTCAGATGCTATAACCAGAACAAGAGGGGGTCAACCCAGGTTTTATTACAAAGGCAGTTACTCATCCACAAATATTTCTAAAATGTTTGAACTCTGAAACAAACGTTTTGAAGAATGGGTTTACTTGCAGTTTTGCCATGAAAGCTGTCCCTGCACAATATATCATCTTGTTGCCATATGATATTAATAGTATATAATCAAAAACAGTCCCGTAAATTAGTACTTCAATTATCATTAGAGCCAAAATGCATCATCCCCTGAGGACTACTTGAGTCCTACTCAGACTCTGTTTGGAAAACTTGCAATTATCATAGAAATAAACATGCCTTTACAAAAGTTTATAATCAACTTTGCATTGTTTCTCAACTCTGTTTAAATTCAGAACTGATGGTATTCTTTAAAAATCCTCATGTGGGAGGATGATGACAGTGTAAGATTTCCTTCACTACCACTTATGAATAGATACTGTTTACTCTTCTCACTCTACCATCTCCTGGGACCACAGTGAATCTGTGGAGAAGGTCTGCTTGCATTGGTTCGAATGAAAGAAGCAGTGTTATACACAAAGGATGAGGTGTGGCTGGAGAAGGAGTTGCTCGGTCTTAAAGTAAATCATCCTAACAGTATGATATGTGCTTTGGTGTCAATTCTGAGTTCTGATCTGGGTTATATGTAGGTTACTTGATTATACCAAAACTGTATTTAGGGTAAAAAATCAGCTGCATTTTGTTGTCTGCTATAACACCATCTCTCTCTGGTTGAACAAATGGATCTAAGAATTCTTACTAGTTCATTTTCAGGGACACTGTGTGTAAAAAATTTAAACAGGCCATATTTATGGAATTTAAGTACAAAAACTGGTTTCCCAAGCCACAACTAGCATAGCACTGCACTTTTTATCTCACCAGTTTCAGTGGAATAATAGTTTCTAATTCTACATTAATCTATGGCTCTTGAGATTAAATAATAGGGAGGGACAGTTTCCTCTGCTCTTATGTCTTCATCAGAAGTTTAACTTTCGATCTTAGTGATAAACATCAGCTGCAAGCTGCTCTTGAGCACACAACTACATGTGCACACAAACACACATCTATATCCACAATGGAGAACTTGTCATAGCTCCAAAATAGAAATGATTTTCAGTGTTACGGCTGAAGGTTTTTTTACAGTTTGATCCTGTGCATGTTTTCTTTAGAGCAAATCCCACTGACTTCCATGGATGTATTGCCTAGTAAGGGTACTTAGATGTACAACTTTATGATCAGTCTGTGGTGAGTTAGATGCATCTAAACTCATGTTTTCAGTCCACTTAAGCAAATCTAATTTTGTATGATCAGGCTAGATGTCATAGCTGTGAAGTATTGGTATTTGTTGCAAAAAACCAAACTATTTCCCCCTCATTAAGCATTTGAACACAATGTGAAATTATTCCAATTCACTGTCAAATGTTGATGGTTAAGAAGGTATGCACAATAAATGCCTTGTTAAAAATGGAATAGGCTGTCCACTATGATTGTGTGTGTTTGTTAACTAATGCATATTTTAACATTTCCTTTAAAACATATAGGTCTAATAATTCTAGGAAATTATTCTAGGTCTAATATTCTAGGAAAATCAACAAAAAAAATGATTTATCTCCTTTTGGAAAAATAAAAGTTGTACATTCATTGTGGCAGATGCAGAGGTCATCACTTTAAAAAGCCCTTCTGTTATGGTTTACCAAAGAAAAGAAAAAATAATCCCCTTCTCACATCAGCTGCAACCCTAAATTTGTGTGGTTTGGACTTTGTTCATTATTGACTAGTGCCCACAAAATGTTGTGATGATTTAAAGATGAGACACGATATATCCAAAATTAAGGACTTTAAGGACCCACAGATTTTAGAGAGAGCGAAAGCACATTATCAGCACATCAATCCTCTATGCAGGATTGGGAATCCATGCTGATGATTCAAACATACATATCCAAAGCCCTGTTGACTATTGTGGTTTAGGGCAGGCCATGAGAGGAGAGTTTGGGAGGAGGGGATACAGAGAGGGGTTAGGATCCTACAGATCCAATTCCAGATTCCAGTATACCCAAATGTTTCTGATTCCAGGATCCTTGACTTCACCATTAGATAGTGGAGCCTTCTAGTGGCAGATCTTCCCCTCTGCTTGCATACCTGAGACTTCACAAGCAACAAGAAAAAAGGAGATTCACAAACCTCTGAACACTCAAACAATTCCAGGGAGCGTAGCACTAAACTCAGTTGGGCTTGTGTTTTTGGCTGTATCTTATCTTTATACTACATATATCATGATTCTTTATTTTTAAAAAATGCGTTTATATGCTATGGAAGGAAGGAAACTCTGGAGGGAAAGTTTTTTCCGTGATGTAATGTATCCACATTAGTAATAAAATGTGGTTTCGCCTTTATCTGGAAAGGCTATAAAGCATTATTTTGTTCAGTTCTGATAATTATGTTATATAGATTAAGCA